CATATTTTTGCCAAAAATTGGGATATGTTATCTGACAGACCAGAATATTTGAAGTTTGGGCTGTCCTGGAAGTCTGGACTTCGGTGGTACCCTCCTCCTCCCTGCAGCCCATCTGTTGCACATGATACTTCATGTGTTCTACAACTTTGAGCGCCCTTATTCCCCTACCTTCCTGGCTCGATTGAAGGAAAGCTTGGAAAGGCGCAGAGCCCTTATACCTCATTTTCTCGTCGATGAAAGGATCCAAGTGAGGCCCTCTTACATCCTGTGGGTAGGGGATGCGGTGGCATCCTCATTGCCATGGTACTCAAAGGTAGAGGAACCTGGAGTTCGTTGCTTCTCTTTTCCATGCTATTCTTTCATATCCTCTTGGGCCTGGTGATTAGCAATTCTCTTTCCTCTCAGCCAAAGGCCTGCACTGGGCTTTATTTGTATTTTTTAATTTTTTAAGCACTGCCTGCCAGACACGGGCCTGGGGCCTGATCAGGACCTCGTCGCTGCTCGTTCTCCTTTTCGGTTCTCCATGTTCCTCCGTGGGGTGGGGAAGGCAGGCATGTGTGTGGTCCTCCTCAGAGAAGTTAGTGGTCTCCCAGCTTGAGGTATAGACCTGGTGGTCCCTTACCCCCACTTCTCTTGAGTTCCTGGCATGAGGAGAGAAGACCCTGCTGGTGGAGCCGACAGCCTTTGAGGCCCTGAGGAGAGAGAGCAGACCTCTGGGCATTGCTCCCAGTGTCCCCCACACTAAGACGGCAGAGATGGCACCCCCCCCAACCCCGCTCAGCTCTTGTGTTTGTGGTTCTGTTGGCCTCATTTATCTGTTGCTATTTTTGTGTTGTCTTCCCCCCCCCCCCCCCCCCCCCCCCCCGCTGCATTTTGTAAAATGGCTCCTGGGGGAGTGTCTTTGCTGGATCTGCTCCCTGGCCCTCTCACTCCACTACTTTTTTGGAAGACAGTGATGGCAGAATGCGGCGGTGGTGGTGGTGGTGGGGGGGGTGTCTTTTGTACTGTTGGATTAATAAAATGACTTGAAAATCCCAGAAAAGGACTCCTTGCTGTTGCTGTGTGAAAAGGCTGCAGTGAACCACTATCACTGCTGGGTAGGGTGGTTAGGTATTGAGGAGATACATACTCCCTGGAAGTGGGAATGGCAGATCTGGCCCCTAAGCTGACCCTGGTATAAGCTGCTGAGCCAAGGGAGGCCTGTGTTTCCCCACCCATCCCCCTATGTCTCCGCTGTGACAAAGTTTCCTTTCTGAGCATATTCCTGGGCCAGGCCTGGAGCCAGACGGATTTGGCACCAAGGCCTCTGGAAGACAAGTGCTTGAGCTCTCCTTGGTTTAGCACCCCACCCACCTCCCAGTTGTTTGGGTTAGGGAGCAAGTGTAGCTCTAAGGGTGACGGGAAGGGCTGCGCCTGTTTTAGCAAATTTCATTTTGGGATGTTTTTGACATCGTTCCCACCCCTTAACCATTTTTTAAAGTAGCAATGGCATCTTTTAAGCAATCTGTGCTGGAGCAGGTTGGGGAGAATGGCAAGAGGGCTATTTCCACGCCCTGGTTTGCGACCCATCCCTCTCCCTTCCCCCATCTCACAGCTGTCTCCGTCTGTCTTGGGGCCAACCTGGCCGCTTGTCCGCGTCATCTCAGGAGACGGCACTCTGCCTTTCAGTGTGGGAGGTTCCTTCTAGAAACTTTAAACACTGGGAAAGAAGGGCAGGTAACTCGAGATTCGGCTGGGACCCTGGTCGTCCACCAGGAGGTAAGCCCAAGAGTAGGCGCTGTGTAGTTAGACCTCCGTTCCCTTCCTCGGGCTCTCAATTTCTGCTCTTATTGGCCGAAAGTTTACGCCCCCTTGGGGAAGTTGACTTTTCATTGGTCAGTTTCTGGTCACATGATCACTTGGGCTGCAAACGAAGGGGAGGCAGCAACAAGTTAAGCTGAAGACCGAAGCAAGAGCTGGGTCAGGTAATTCCTTTGCTGGGTAGGGGTCCACGGATTCCCTGTGAAAGGGGAGTGATAAAAGGAAAAGGGAAGGCGGAACTCTAAAAGGAATGAGCTGCTTTTCATTTCTGGGCTGGGGGCGGAGGGTCAGGTGCCGACGCTAACAAAACAGGAACTTGCTCTGGGTACCCCAGGCAAGTGGCCCTAGATCCTTTGCTTTAGAGATTTGGGGGAGCAACTGTTCAAGGGGTTGAAATCAACTAGAGGCGAGACTTCCTAGCTTTGTACTGAGTGGGAGAGCTCCCCCTTTAGCTGTTTTTTAGAAATAGCAGAAGTCCCTGTCATAATCCTTACAGGAGGTGTTTGTTGAATCCTGCCTGAATGAAAAGAAGGGGGTGGGGGGAGGGAGTGGAGGTGGTTTTTCTTCCAGAAGGTCGATGAAAAGAAAAAGATCTGGAAACACAGCAGGGAAGGGTGGAGATTAGACAGCAGAAGGAACTTCCTAATAAGGCAGTGAGATGCTGGCTTGGGAGAAGAGGGATATATTTTTTTAATCTTAGGTTAACCTAACCAAGAGAGAGGTGTCAGGGTTTGGGACCCTGAGTATAGGGGTTCAAGAGTGTCTCTTACTTGGGTCTCATAAGTGTTTGTTTTGTTGACCCAAATACCTTTGCTGGTTTCCATGGAGACAGTGGGTCTGACATCACTGTGGTTGCCATGGTGCCTGGTTCTAGGGGACCTGAGCAGGCTGTACACACAGCTAGGGATAAACAGGGACTTCAGCCCAAGCTGCTGCCACTTCCTTCCTGCCACCACCTGTTAACAGTCACACGAAGCAACTGGGGATGGGGAGATGATGACAATGGCGGGGGACGGGCCCACAAGCGGAAGGCTGAACAGCCGTGGCTCTATGGATACCTATAGATGCATGCCAGGGTGTCCTGTTGGACTTGGTACAGGGAAGTCATTGCAACCATTCTCCTGTCTCCGTGTGGGATGGGTGGGTGAGTCTGGGAGGATGGTAATTGAGAAAGACCTGTCCAAGACTTGGATCTTTACTGGCAGGAGCCACAGACGGTTATTTAGGGCACCACGCAGGACTTGAAAACGCTCAAACAGAAGGGGATAATGTGATTGGTTTTAAAGGTAGAACTGCCATACTTTCCCGGCCTCACTTTGCTTTTCCGGAGTTTCCTTTCCGGAAGCAGCCATTTATCCTTTTCTGAAAGATCACAATCCAGTACTCTTGAGAGGTCAGCTCATCCACCCTTCCCCCTTTATGCCTGGTCCCAGTAGGAGCTGCCTGAGGGAACTGTCTTGGCCTGGGATGCAGGGGTGGATCCCTCTCTTCTTACCCTGCTTTGTGTCAATCAGGCTTTGGAAACTGAAGTAATTCCCTCCCCCATCCCTGTCAAATCAGAGCGGATTAACAGGGGGCAGGACCACAGCTCTGATTTTTGTCTATTCTTTGCAAGCTGTAAAGTGATGTGTACATGACAGGTGCTGTAAGTCCATTTTCCCAGTCACCTTCAAGTTCCCTGAGACCAAACTCTGGAGATGACTAAGAAGGTAAACAGAATTTAGAATGGAGAATGAGAGTGACAAGGAGACTTATCAAAGGTGAATCCAGGTGGATCTAAGCTGGGCCAGTGGTTCTCAACCCTGGCTGTGCATGAGAATCATTTGAGAGGTTTTTTTTTTTTTTTTTTTTTTTTTTTGAGGCGGAGTTTCGCTCTTGTTACCCAGGCTGGAGTGCAATGGCGCGATCTCGGCTCACCACAACCTCCGCCTCCGGGGTTCAGGCAGTTCTCCTGCCTCAGCCTCCCGAGTAGCTGGGATTACAGGCACGCGCCACCATACCCAGATAATTTTTTGTATTTTTAGTAGAGGCGGGGTTTCACCATGTTGACCAGGATGGTCTCGATCTCTTGACCTTGTGATCCGCCCGCCTCGGCCTCCCAAAGTGCTGGGATTACAGGCTTGAGCTACCGCGCCCGGCCATTTGAGAGGTTTTTAAAAAGACCCATGCCTGGGCATACCCCCTAACTCAATTGAATCAGAATCGTAGGTGATTCCAACGTGCAGCCAAGATTGAGAACCTCTGAACCAGACCATACCAAGGACTTATGCAGGGCAAGTGGTGGGAGGCCATCGAGTCTTCCCTTCTGGGTCCTGGGGGAGAAGGTAGTGATTGTGGAGGTGCCTGGTGTTGTGAAGGGAGGGCTGTGTTGTTTTCCTTGCTCTTACTAACAAGTCTTCTTATTGGCAAGGCAAGTCTGTCAGCCTTTCTGGGCGTCATCTTCCCTGACTATAATGTCAGGGGGTTGGACTGGAATTCCCCAGAGCCTTTCCAGCCTATGCTACTTTGACCTTTCAAGGTCAGTTCAGTTTTCCAAGACCCTGTTGGTCCCTGGAAGAGGCTGGCTTCTCTGTGGCTCTTGGCAGATTCTAATTTGCAAGGCAAATACTGCTTAGAAGAGTTGTTTTTTTTTTTTTTTTTTTTTTTTTGAGACGGAGTTTCGCTCTTGTTACCCAGGCTGGAGTGCAATGGCGCGATCTCGGCTCACCGCAACCTCCGCCTCCTGGGCTCAGGCAATTCTCCTGCCTCAGCCTCCTGAGTAGCTGGGATTACAGGCACGTGCCACCATGCCCAGCTAATTTTTTGTATTTTTGGTAGAGACGGGGTTTCACTATGTTGACCAGGATGGTCTCGATCTCTTGACCTCGTGATCCACCCGCCTCGGCCTCCCAAAGTGCTGGGATTACAGGCTTGAGCCACCGCGCCCGGCCTGCTTAGAAGAGTTGAGGTGTCAGGGAGAGAAGAACTGGAACTGGGCTTGGTTCTGGAGGCTGCTGCCCAGCACTTGAACCTTGGAACCCAGCCAAGGCTGCTTTCTGCATCCAGCCTCTCCTGAAGGGAGCTCCCATCCTTAAGAGAGCTTTCTTCTGCAGGTGGCAGCCACAGCAGCCTCAGAGACTTCAGCAACTATGGCCTCCTGCCCAGACTCTGATAATAGCTGGGTGCTTGCTGGCTCCGAGGTAGGAAGAGCGGGCCTGGGAACCGTGGGGGTGGGGTTGGGGGGTGTTTCTGCAGTGCTGGGCTTCTTTGTGGGTGGGTTCCTTTCCTTGGTCCTGATGATCACCCACATCACTTCCTGCTGGCTGCTAGAGGATCTCCAGGAGCAGGAAGAAGGAGATCTGGCCCCAGGGGACAGTTATTGGCACTTGGTTCATGCCATGAAGGAAGGGTACCAGTTGGATAAGCTGGGAGAAGCAGGGAGGGACTTCAAATGGAGAGACCAGTGTGAACAAAGGTCCCGAGGCGATAGAGGGGAAAGCCACGCTGGGGGAGACTGTGGGGAGCCCATGGGTTATGTGGAGGTGTGGGTCAGAGCCAGTGTTGGAGTGAGGTTGGGGGCAGAGCCTGGGAACCCCTAGAAGAGACCTGGAGGGCCTGGCTGAGGCATTCAGGCCTCATCCTGATGGGAAATTCATGTGGGGCTTTGAGTTAGAGGGATCAGGACAGTCATTGTCTTGGACAGGGTGAAGCCGCTGTGTGGGCTGGGTGGGAACAGAAACAGAGTGTTCTGACGGCCCCTGCAGTGGTCCAGGTAGCAGATGGTGGAGCAGTAGCCCACTGAGAAGGGAGAAGGGGGCTGGCAGGGATGGGGAACTGAGTAGCTAGAGAAGGGATGGCACACATTTGTCAAAGGCATCTCTGAGGGTCCCAGGACCGAGCGATGGCTTTGTGTGTCAGAGACGCCGGGGGGGAAGGAGGGAGGAGCTCGGTTTCAGCACGTGGAGTTGGAGGTGCCCTTGAGGAACCCAGCTGGGAGGAAGGAGTTGACTTTGGGGATAATCCTGGAGCAGGACACATGGACTGGGACTCGCTGGCAGAGGGGAGGCAGGTACGTGCAGACAGGCGCGAGGCTCTCAGAGCCCTGGCCTCCTGCTGGGGTGTCTTTGCTGACAGCTGGGGGACCTTGGGCATGCCATTTCACCCCTCCGTCCTTTCCTGTAAAATGGGGCTCATGATTTTTGCCTTGTAGGGGAGACCATGAGAATAAAAATGCTTTGAAAATGGCAAAGACACATACTAAAGGGAAACATTATTCTCAAAGGGATCATAGGAGCCACAGGGAGGGCGGCAAGCCAGGGGCTTGCAGAAGGGGAGTACACAAGAGGGAAGAGGCTCAGGCTGTGTGGCCAGGCTGGAGGTCCAGGCTGAGAGCACCCTGGAGACAGGCTGTCTGTGGCTGGGGTGGGTTGGGCTTCTGTGAGCAGCTGCTGGGAGACGGGTGTCCGGGGAGTGTCAGGGGCCAGTGGGGAAGGCCAGAAAGGCTTGGGAGATGGAAATCGTTGGCCAGTTGAGAGGGCAGCTGCAGGGACGCCCCGGGAGGCACCCAGGGGACTTTGTTCTCTCGCCTTCCTCCTACCCGTAGTACGGTAATATCTGGGTTGTTCATCTATGGGGAAGGAAGTGCTGCTGATCTTGAGGGGAGGGAGGCCTGGGCTCTAGCTGGCCTCCTGCAGGCAGGGCCCCAGGTTTGTACTGCATCCAGTGCCTTGGTCTGGTGGTGCTGCTCTGTATAGTGGAAACCCGGTCCCTGAAAGTTCCTCCTCTCCGTGAGTGAGGCTGGGGAATGGCCCAAGCACTTGGCCCTGTCCTGAGCCCCTTTTCGGGGCCGGTTCGTGACCGAGCTCGTGTGATTCTGGGTTGTGGGCTGGGGGCCCCTTTTCGGGGGTGGCGCTTTCTCCTTGCACTCCTCCTCCCAGAGCCTGCCCGTGGAGACGCTCGGCCCGGCCTCCAGGAGGGACCCAGACCCCGAGAGAACCCTGCAGGCCCCTCGCAGCCCCTCCAAGGCAGATGGGGAAGAATTACCTGGGACCGTGGATGGTGAAGGTACCAGGCCCTGCTTAGGACGTAGCTTACCAGACAAAGCTATTTTCCGTATCTTGGGGTTTCCCGGGTTCCTCAGAGAAAGGGAGGCTGGTTAGTTTTAGTTCCTTCATTAATCTCAGTTGACAAACCCCTTTTCTCATTCCACCCTGGCTTTTTCCTGCCCCTTCCAACCTGGTAGAGGCCTGTGGGAGACAGAGGGCTGCATGGGAAATTCAGCTGGGGCAGTGGGTTTTTCTGGGCCTTTTCTCCTGCCACAGGGACGCTCTTCCAGACTGAAAGCCCCCAGTCTGGCACCGTTCGGACAGAGGAGACTGAGGTCAAGGTGAGGAGCTTCCTTGTGGGAGCGGGGCAGGAGGGGGAGCCAGCAGCTGCTCACTGCTGCATCTGCGTCAGGGCGCCCTGGAAGGTGGTATTTGTGGTGTGGAGACTCCTGGCCCAGGAGACACAGCAGTCCAGGAAGACTTGCAGGAGACCCCCGTGGTGACAGGTCTGGGACCAGACACACAGGACCAGGATGGCCGGAGTCCGCCACAGAGCCTGCCTTCAACCCCCAAAGCAGGTGAGAGTCCTCCTTGCCTCTCCCGTCACTCTCCCTCTAAGAGGTATGGGAGAGGGATCAGCCATCACGACCCGCTGTGGTCCAGGCCCTGGGGCTGAGCAGCTTGGTGCCCTCCTTTCTCACCACTGCCCCTGGGACGTTGAGGCCCAGAAAGGTTGAATGACTTGACCAAGGTCACACTGTTGGTAAGGGGCAGGGCCCACATCTGGTTGACTCTTTCCTCTCTGCTAGGGGGGCTTCCTCTTTTCTTGCTTCTAGAATTCAACCCTCATTTCTGGAGTCCCTTTCTTGTGCTGGCTCTGGGCCTGTGGGGGAGGGATGGTGGGGGGTTACCGCCTATGTAAGCAGCGGATCAGACTGAGCCAAGATGCTCGTCAGACCCAAGAGAGGTACAGAAGTGTAATTAAGGTACTCCCAAAGGAGGGAGAGGCCGTTCAGTCAGGGGACAGGTTGAGGGCAAGGGAGAGTCTGGGACAGTGAGAGGTGGCATCGGACTGGAGTCCTGAGCACAGAGCCAGCTTTCGGTAGATAGGGCAGGGGAAAGAGAATATTCTAGGCCAAGGCTGCAGCATCAGCAAAGCAGTGGGGACCACCTGGCTTGTGCCAAGGAGCTCTGTTCCAGGCTTGTGGTGGAGGAGTATAGGAGTTTGTCCCTGTTGAAGAGTGACAGGATGGAGGGCCTGAGGGCCATTTAGGAGGCAACTGTCAGGCAAAGACAATGCAGACCCGGGCTGGGCATGTGGCTTGCGCCTGTAATCCCAGCACTTTGAGGCTGAGGCAGGAGGATCGCTTGAGCCCAGGAATTCAAGGCTGCAGTGAGCGATGGTCATCCCACTGCACTCCAGCCTGGGCAACAGAGCGAGACCCTGTCTCTAAAGAAAATTAAAATAGCTGGCTGGGCATGGTAGCTTATGCCTGTAATCCCAGCACTTTGCGAGGCTGAGGTAGGTGAATCACCTGAGGTCAGGAGTTTGAGACCAGCCTGGGCAACATGATGAAGCCCCATCTCTATTAAAAATACAAAAATTAGCCGGTGTGGTGGCGTGCGCCTGTAATCCCAGCTACTTGGGAAGCTGAAGCAGGAGAATTGCTTGAACCCAGGAGGTGGAGGTTACAGTGAGCCAAGATTGTACCGTTGTACTCCAGCTTGGGTGACAGAGGGAGACTCTACCTCAAAAGTAAATAAATAAGTGAATAGGCTGGGTGTGGTGGCTCACACCTATAATCCTAGCACTTTGGGAGGCCGAGGTGGGTGGTGGATCACTTGAGCTTAGGAGTGTGAGACCAGCCTGGGAAACATGGTGAAAAACCATGTCTTCAAGAAGTACAAAAAAAAAAAAAAAAAAAGCAAATCAACCAGGCATAATGACGCATGCCTGTAGTCCTAGCTACTTGGGAGGATGAGGTGGGAGGATTGCTTGAGCCTGGGAGGCAGAGATTACAGTGAGTTGTGATCACACCACTGCACTCCAGCCTGGGTGACAGAGCCAGACAGACCCTGTCTCAAAAAGTAAAAATAAATAAAAATGTAAAAATATTTAAAAAAAAATAAAAAGAGAAAGCAGATGCAGACCTGAACTAAGGCAGGTGCAGTGTGGGTTGTGAAGAGGGGCGGACTGTCAGGATGTTTAAGTATAGAACTGTGAAACTGTCTGGATGTGAGGTGGAGCGGGCGGGCTTAGGTTAGCTAGGCGGCAGTGGCGGTAGCTGTCCCTGAATTGGGGAAACGCCAGAAAAGAGGCAGTTGGCAGGGCAGTGTGTGGAACGTTTGGTTTCAGCGGGAGTGGCCGGTAGGCAGTCACACAGTCATACAGCCCTGGAGCTCTGTGAGGCCAAGTCAGGAGTTACACAATAAGGACTCATCGCTGAAGCGGGTGTCAGTGGTACGAGATAGTTGTGACTGCGTGGACAGTGAGAAGAGCAGAGACCCTGAAGTGCGGCCAGGGAGACCACCCCCTTTAGGATCAGGGAAGCGCCAGGGAGGGAGAACAGGAAGGGGCAGCCAGAGAGTTTGGAGGGGACCCAGGAGGGTGGTGATAGCTGCAGAAGTTTGATGCACGGTGCACACTGAGGAAGGAGGATGCTTTCAGGATGAAAGAGCCTTTAATAGCTTGGAGATCGACAGCACTGTCTCCTGCCTGTAGACGGGGCAGGGGCAGTCATTGATGCCCAGGCCGAAGTGGGCAGGACCTGCATGTGCCCCTCTCTGGGGTCAGGACTGAGGAGCTCCCTGTGCCTTCCTCTGCTTCCCCTCTCTCCCTGTGTCTTCCCATCTCTCCACTCACCTCACTGCCCCGTCCCTATCCGCTCTCCTAGCTTGGATCAGGGAGGAGGGCCGCTGCTCCAGCAGTGAGGATGACACAGACGTGGATGTGGAGGGTCTGCGGAGACGGCGGGGCCGGGAGGCTGGCCCAGCTCAGCCCGCGGCGCCCCTGGCTGTGGAGAACCAGGCTGCTGGTGAGGGTGCAGGTGGGGAGCTGGGCATCTCCCTCAACATGTGCCTCCTCGGGGCCCTGGTTCTGCTGGGCCTGGGGATCCTCCTCTTCTCAGGTGAGTGGCACCTCTGCGGGTGGGGCTTTGGGCTGCCACACCTGCCTGCCTGCCCTCCTGCCATGTTCTCTCTACCTCACCTCACCCCTCCCCGAGGGCCTCACCAGACTCTCCTCTGTCTCTGTCCTCAGGTGGCCTCTCAGAGTCCGAGACTGGTGAGTAGGGAGGAGCGTGGCCTGTGCTGGGGGGGTTGCGTGTGTTCTCTGGTTCTCTGGGTCAGGAGTAGCGGGGCTGGGGGCTCACAGTTGTTTCTCAGTTATTGGCCTTGTCAGCTGTTCAGGGGGCGCCTTGGTCCTTTACCGCACTGACCTCTCAGCCACAGGGTGCGTCCCCAGCAGGAGCGGTGACTGCGAGTGGCGGGGGTGGGGTGGGGGGAATGGGCTCTGTGTGCCTCGGGACCAGTCTCAGGACTTCCCTTTCCACAGGGCCCATGGAGGAAGGGGAGCAGGTCCTTCCGGACACTGGGTCGGACCCTGAGCTGCTGGATGCTGTGGGGGACAGGCAGGTATGTGTGAATGCTTCTAGAGGCACGTGGGGCCTGGCTGGGGAGAGCCTGGGCTATGGGGTGGCATGGGGTAACAGGTTCTTTTGCCCTCAGGATGGGCTAAGGGAACAGCTGCAGGCCTCAGTGCCTCCTGACAGTGTCCCCAGCCTGCAGAACATGGGTCTTCTGCTGGACAAGCTGGCCAAGGAGAACCAGGACATCCGGCTGCTGCAGGCCCAGCTGCAGGTGGGCACAGGCAGGAAGGGCTGGGCTAGGGTAACCAACCTGGACCAGGTGTCTGTCTCAGCATCCTCCCCAAAAGGAGTATTTCCTATTTGCTCACACATCCTGACCCTCCCCTCTCCCACCGTAGTCAGGGAACCTTCCCACTTCCCTGTTCACCTCCCTTGTGCTAAGGTTTGGTCCAGGGCTGCCGTACCTGTTTCACATGGCATGTGAAACATACATGGTATCACCTGTGATTGATTGGTGTGGTCTGCCTGAAGCATTGTGTGGAAAAGGATTTAAAGACCATGCCAAGGCTCATGCCAAGTGCCATGATCAATGAACAGTGCTCCAGGTATGGGAGGTAGAAGGAAGGCCATGACAGCCACACACTGGCTATCCTTAGGTGAATCTAGGAAGTGTGTGCTTATATAAAGACATAGATGCTGAGACCCAGGGTGGAATTTGGGGATCCCTGTGTCTCATTCATGATGGAGATGGGGTGGAGGGTGAACACCAAATCCTCTGGGTGTTCCAGGCCATAAAAGGGGCTCAGGCCACCTGTCCACTATAGTGAAATGGAATTGGGGTAGAAGGCATTGGGCCTAGCCTGACAAGAACTTTTGGTGACTTCCTTCATCCCAAACTGTATTCCAGGCCCAGAAGGAAGAGCTTCAGCGCCTGATGCACCAGCCCAAAGGCCTAGAGGAGGAGAATACCCGGCTCCGGGGGGCTCTGCAGCAGGGCGAAGCCTTCCAGCAGGCTCTGGAGTCAGAGCTGCAGCAGCTGCGGGCCCGGCTCCAGGGGCTGGAGGCCGACTGTGTCCGGGGCACAGATGGGGTGTGCCTCAGTTGGGGTAGAGGCCCACAGGGTGACAAGGCCATCAAGGAGCAAGGCCCCAGGGAGCAGGAGCCAGAACTCAGCTTCCTGAAGCAGAAGGAACAGCTGGAGGCTGAGGCACAGGCATTAAGGCAAGAGCTGGAGAGGCAGCGGCGGCTGCTGGGGTCTGTACAGCAAGATCTGGAGAGGAGCTTACAGGATGCCGGCCGCGGGGGCCCAGCTCACGCTGGCTTGGCTGAGCTGGGCCGCAGATTGGCCCAGAAACTGCAGGGCCTGGGGAACTGGGGCCAGGACCCTGGGGTCTCTGCCAATGCCTCAGAGGCCTGGCATCAGAAGTCCCACTTCCAGAATTCCAGGGAGTGGAGTGGAAAGGAAAAGTGGTGGGATGGGCAGAGGGGCCGGAAGGCTGAGCACTGGAAGCCTGGGAAGGAAGAATCTGGCCGGGAACGGAAGAAGAACTGGGGAGTTCAGGAGGACAGGGAGCTGGCAGGAAGGTGGCAGGAGGGCAGGCCGGGGGCGGAGGAGTGGGGGAGCAAGAAGGAGGGCAAGCGACAGGGCCCTAAGGAACCCCCAAGGAAAAGCGGTAGCTTCCGCTCCTCTGGAGAAAAGCAGAAGCAACCCCGGTGGAGGGAAGGGGCTAAGGACAGGCACGACCCTCTGCCGTCCTGGGCAGAGCTGTTGAGGCCCAAGTACCGGGCGCCCCAGGGCTGTTCAGGTGTGGACGAGTGTGCCCGGCAGGAGGGCCTGACTTTCTTCGGCGCAGAGCTAGCCCCAGTGCGGCAACAGGAGCTGGCCTCTCTGCTAAGAACATACCTGGCACGGCTGCCCTGGGCTGGGCAGCTGACCAAGGAGCTACCCCTCTCACCTGCTTTCTTTGGCGAGGACGGCATCTTCCGTCATGACCGCCTCCGCTTCCGGGATTTTGTGGATGCCCTGGAGGACAGCTTGGAGGAGGTGGCTGTGCAACAGACAGGTGATGATGATGAAGTAGATGACTTTGAGGACTTCATCTTCGGCCACTTCTTTGGAGACAAAGCACTGAAGAAGAGGTGGGCAACTGTGGGTAGTTGAATCAGGCGGGACAGAGGCAGTTGGGAGGATGTGAGGAGCAAGGGTCGTTAGTTTGAGGATGCCCCAGCTGGCTTCCCTTAGAGGAGGTATCCAGGTCTGCTTCCTTTCTTCCCTTGAGGGCAGGAAACGGGCCTATGCCTACCCGAGAGCAGTCCTCTTTTGGGGCAGGGGAATTCTTCTGAGTTGCCCTGCCCTGCCCCTACCTGCGTGGCCCAGGGGACGAGGGAGTTGCCCACCTTCCTGCCTCCCTCAATGGAGCCTTCATCCTGGGAGACCAGGGTTTCCCCCCATATGCTTGGTGGTGCCTGCCCGAGTCAGCGTCACTGGGAGGAGCAGGGTCCTCTCTCCTGGGGGAACCCTTGTCACCACATGGTATTGTCCGCTAAAGGCCTCTTTCTCCCCTGCTCACCTCCCCACAGGTCAGGGAAGAAGGACAAGCACTCGCAGAGCCCAAGAGTTGTGGGGCCCAGGGAGGGGCACGGTCACCAGCACCGGGGCTGACGCCTTGCCCCATGGGGAATGGCCTTGGCCCAAGATCCCAGCGTTCTCTAACTCCCGGAGGCTGCACTCTGTCCTGGCTTGTCTGGTGTCCTTGGATAGCCTTCACAGAGTAGAGCAGAATCACCAGCCCTGCACTGATGCCACTTTCTCTAGTAAAAGGCCTTAGCTGGACCTGCTATCTATGCAAATGTATGCAAATGTATGCAAATACTCCAGGCCCTGGGAGGTGGGCCTGTGTTTTGCCAATGTGAAGGGGGAGATGGGAGAGGAGCCTGTTCTGGGGTGGGGTGGGGGTAAGGCAATCTGACTCTGAAGCCAAAGAGCTTTTATCCTCTTGCGTGTATGTCCCCAGTGCGGGTCCCTTTGTTTCCACATGCTGACTGGCGCCCCTGGGATTTGACTAGAGCTGCTGGCTTGAGGCCCAGCACGAGGACTTTCCCTGGGGTTTTGTTCGGTTTGGAGGCAACTGTCCCCAGTTGAAGTCCCCCGTTCTTCACCCCTGCTTCTCCGGTGGCCTCACCTCCTGATAGGAACTATAGACTCAGATTCCAATAAAGTGCTGTTGCAGCTGTGATGCTGGGTGGTTTCTAAGCAGGGGGGACACCCCACACCCCCTGCCTGAATGGCTGGGTCCATCCCAGGCACTGGTACTTTCCCGCTTGTCCTGTGTCCCCCTCTGCCCTTGCCTTGCCCAGAAGCTGACACTTCCCCTTTTGCTCACAGCTGCCTTGGCCGAAGCCCTGGGAGATGTAGCAGATGGGTTTTGGAGTCTGAGCCTTGGGCTCAAATCCAGGCTGAGTGATCTTGGGCAAGTTAATCTCTGGGGACTTTGGGTTTCTTATCCTCAAAAACGGTGATGGAAGGGCCGGGGGAGAAATTCAATAGAGCAACGCAAGAAAAATGCCTCTCCTGTTTTGGGCACCCAGAAAGTTACTGCCTTCTTTAGAGAAGAGTATGGAGGAGGGAAAGGAAGAGCTTCCGGGGTGGGGAGGTGAGGGAGCCGCTAGGTGGCACCCTGGCTCCACATTTGCTCCAGACCTCACCCCTCCTACTACTCCCCATCCCCAAAATCTCGGACCCTACCCCACAGACCCCAGGGCCTGCTCCCCTGGCCAGCTCTCCCAAGATGACCAGACCCCCCTTGGCTGTTCTCTAGGTTAGATCTTCCTGAGATCTCACCCCACTCCCTCGGGCAATACACTGAGCTTCTTGACCACCCTGGAAATACCCAGGAAGTATGGGGGACAGAATAATGTGATGTGACTGCTCAGGCAGGAGGTGGGGGACTACAGGTTCCAGAATGGGCTGTAACTGATTTCCATATTATTTAGCGAGCCAGTATGTAACACTGTTTAAGGGCTTAAGGGTATTGGCTCAATTAATTCATGTGTGGGTGGGGCAGGGGTTAGGGCAGGCTGGGGATGGAACAAGGAGCACTAATTCAGCAACATTTATAAAGTCTGTTGTGTACCAGAAACAGAGGCACTGGGAATACAGCGGCACCTTAAGAAACCTATAGTCCAGTAGAACCTGCTTTCTGCAGCAGGAGGAACTGCAGTTAGACCTAAGGAAGAACTTCCTTTCAGGCAGAAGGTCAGTGATATGGGCTAGGGAGGCTTTAGGATTTGGGACCCAGGCCTGTGAACCACTGCTCTTCGAAGAAGCCTAGTTTTACTCTATTCACATTGCTCGCCTTCTGTAGGTGCTCCAAATTCTTGCTGCCTGAACAGCTGACTGGTATAGTTGGGTTCCTGAGAGATTGAGGCTTGAAGGTAGGTAGGATTCAGAGTCCTGGGGCAGGGGGCTGGGCCTAGGGGAGGGGATGCAAGCTGGCCTACCTGGTTCTCAGCGAGTGGTGACTCTCACCCTGGCCCCTTGGGGCTTCTCAGTTTCATTTTTAGGGCTCACTTCCTTTGTTTGCATAACAGCTGCCCAGGGAGGCGGTCAGGTTCCCCTAAGCCTCCCCTTCCTTACCCACTCCGGAAGTAGAGATGCTGAGTGGGAGGTTTCTGAAGCTGCTGAATCAGGAAGAAATAGAGAGCCGCGAACCCAAACCCAGGGGGTATGTTGGGGAGGGCCGCGATGGCAGTGACATTGGCTGCTCTGATCACCCTGTCTCCGTGGTGCCCCTGGGAGGTGATCCTCACACTCCTCACAAACCAGGAGGCCCCTCTCTCTGACGTACCCATGTGGCCCTGGTCAGGAGGGAGGGGCCCAGGGTCCAGGTCTTCGGATGATCTCCTGACCATGGGGCCAGTGTGTGGAGATGAGTTCAGCGGGGATAGAGCCAGGAGACAGCATTCCCTCCAGCCCACAGGGATTGGGGGCAGCTCTGGCCCGGGCAGGGCTTGGGGAGCTGCCACGTGCCCGGTCGGCCTCCCGGAGTTTGGGCTGGGCTCTTCCAGTTTTAGCACTTGGCATTTTTAGCTCTTGGCTTTCTGCCTTTTCCTCTGGGAGCTCCCCCAGCTTGCCCATTGCCCAAGTAGGGCTTGCTTCCCTGAGAGCTCAGCTCTAGGGTCCTTGGGAGGAATCACTAGAGTTGGGGGTGGCCTTCTTGGGCCTTCTACTCTCAAATGGAAAAATTCGATTTCCACTGGCCAGTCCCAAAAACTCATTTCCCGGTAGGCCCCAGTCTGCATTCCCTCTCCCGCCCCCATCTCTCATTCTTCAGCCTCACCTTCTTCAGCCACCCTTTCTCCAGTGCCCTCAGTCCAGCCTCTGCCACCCTTGCCCTCTCTGGCCCTGTGCCTCTTCCAGGATTCCCCCATCTCCTGCTGCCTCCCCAGTTGTCTAGGCCCCAGCCTTTCCCAATTGCCTGGCACTCCCACCGGTCCTGGGGTGACAGGTGGTAGAGGTAGATGGGGTGGGTGGGTCGTAGGTGGTGGTGGGTCACATTACTTCCCAGCCTGATCACCTCTTTTGGCTTCTGGAAGGTCAGAGGCACATGCTCCTTTTGAGAGTGGCTCCCAGCCTCGTCCGGCTGGGCCCAAGGACACTCACTGGACTGGCTGGCTGTTGCCATGGGAACCTCCCAGGGTTATCCTGATGCAAGAATGCCTCCTCATCCTGCCTTGTTCTGGGCCACGGATGTTCCTGGCCCTTTGGCATGCTCGCAGCAGGGGTCTGGTAGGTTGCAGGGTGGGGGTTTTGGGCTATTGCCTAATCGGACAGCAGGTTCTTCCCCTCCCCGACTCAGCTGCCTGAGCCACAGAAGCCCCTTGCTAACCACTTCAGCCTCTTGTCCGAGTTCCCCATCCCCTCCGCCCCCAGGCCTCCCTGAAGGTCTTGGGTAACCTTTGGCTCCCAGGATAGGTGACTGCCCACTCCCAAATGGAGAACAACAGTGGACCCCTTCCCTGCTCAGCTGTTCTTCTGGCTGGGCCTGGTCCTGGCTCAGCCGTTCCTGGGCCAGGTGGGGACCCAGCCCAGGTCTTTTCTAACCAGAGCTTTGGCCTGAGCAAGATTCGACGTCAGAAAACCCAGAGTGTCGACTGCTGCCCACCTGTGGGCCCTGGGCAAGAGGCCTCTCCTTGCTTAAGGGCTCAGCTTTCTCATCATTGAAGTGGAGACCACAGATACTGCTCTCAGAGGCTGTGTGAGGATGAAATGAGTCAGTGTAAGATACATGAAACGGCTTTGCCAGCTAAAAGGTACTGATAACAGAGCAGTTATTTTTATTTTACTTAAGCTCTAAGGGGGAAACTGGGAGCCTCTGGGAGCTGCTGATATGGGAGGAAAGGGTGTTGATTCCCCGACCATGTGGCAGAAGCTGGAAGCTGGCGGGAAAAGATGCTAACTAGCATTCAGTTCTCAACACCTGTGCTAGGTGCTGTGGGGCCCCCAATCCTTGCCCCAAGGCTAATTGGATTAGCTGCACACAAAGCAGAATTTTAATAGTTCTCTCTTAATGGTGCCAGGAGCAGTCTGCCAACTGGGTGAAGAGGAAGGAGGGGGTGGCCTTTGAGTTGAATCCTGAAAGATAACAGGATTTCACAGATGGGAGAATGGGGAGGGCATTTCAGGCTGGGCAAAGGTGAGGCCTGAGGTGGAGGCATGACAGCCTATAGCCAGATTGTTCACAGAGCGGGCAAATTCGCCTGCAGGCAGCCTGCAGGGCTGAGGGGACGTCTACTGTAGGAAATAGGAGGGATGCCACTCATCTTTGCTATTCTCCTCACTCTCCACTTCCACTCCAGGGCAGGGTCCCTTTGCAGGAGTTCCCACCAGCATGGGGCACTTACCTTCACTCAGCCCCAGGGGAGGCACCCAGCAGAGGGGAGGGACATCCATTGAGGTCATCACCGAGACCTTGCTCAAAGTCAAAGGGACAGGTCATCTGGCTGGAGCAGGATAGGCAGACACCTGAAGCCACAAGCTGTGGAGAAGAAAGTGCTAGATGGCTCCCTTTGGAAGGTGTGTCGCCCATGGTCAAACAGGCTGGCCATCAATGCTTGCTTATCTGGAATGACAGGGGACTAGTCCAGAAACTGTGACATGAGGCCAGCAAAGAAACAGGCCCACTGGGTGCTGTGGCTTATGCCTGTAATCCCAGCACTTTGGGAGGCTGAGATGGGAGGTTGGCTTGAGGGCAGGAGTTCGAGACCAGCCTGGGCAACATAGCAAGACCTTATTTATACTTAAAAAAAAAAAAAAAATTAACTGAGCATGGTGGTACACACCTGTAGTCCCAGCTACTTGGCAGTCTGACGTCGGCGGATTGCTTGAACCCAGGAGATCGAGGCTGCAGTGAGCTTATGATCCACCACTATACTTCCAGGCTGGGTGACAGAGTGAGACCCTGTCTCAAAAAAAGAAAAGAAAAACAAGCTGTGACTGTCAAAGCACTCCTATACCTTCTATCTCACTGAGAATAGACTTTGAAGAATGTTAAGACCGTCAGTATCTCTATTTAACAGATAAAGAAACTGAGATAGGGCAGGGCCTGTAATCTCAGCCCTTTGGGAGGCTGAGGTGGGTGGATCACAAGGTCAGAGGTCCAGACTAGCCTGGCCAATATAGTGAAACCCCATCTCTACTAAAAACAAAAATTAGCCCGGCGTGGTAGCAGGCACCTGTAGTCCCAGCTGCTGGGGAGGCTCAGGCAGGGGAATCGCTTAAACCTGGGAGGCAGAGGTTGCAGTAAGCAGAAATTGCGCTACTGCACTCCAGCCTGGGAGAGAGTAAGAGTGAGACTCAAAAAAAAAAAAAAAAAAAAAAAAAAAAAAAATTAAATAGATGTGACCTGTCCAGCGATAGAAAAAAACTCAAAAAACCCCACAAAAAACAAAAAACAAAAAACAGAGAGATTAAGTGACTTGCCTAAGTCACATTCTAGCTAGACAGTGACCGTGGAGGAAGACTGGCCCTCGGTCTCTCTTAGGGCACCTTGCTTCTTCTCCAGCCCCAGCTGGCTCAACGTTACTAGCACACTCCCAGCTCCCACTGGTGTTCTGTTGAGTCCTCCCTGAGCCTCGTCCTCCACCCCCACTTCAGCTACCTGGGCTCCTCGCCCTGGAGGCTTTTCTTCTCTGGCCACCAGCTGCCACCTCATTGGCTCCAGCTAATGGGTAGGAG